CGTCCAATCCCTTACAGCCCTATCAGCCATTAACACCATTCTGTGTTCCCATTTGCCTCTCCCTTCTTCAAGTGCTAACTTTTGGATTCCAAATGAACTTGCTATCAGTCTCTTGACAGCAGGAACTTTGCTTCTTGCTCTGCTCCGGGGTGCCACAGCTTGTTGGAGCATCTTCAACTGTTTTGTTATCCAATCTTTCTACCGCCTTCCTTTCAATTTCCAAGAGAAAGGCCTGGATATTATTGGCGAATGAAGTCCAGCCTTGACCCCTCAGTCCTTCCGGTATCCATAATACTTGTTTCTTGTTAGTACCAAAGTATTCTGTTACCATGATAAACTATCCTCTGCCATTCCTTCTCAGAACCGTTTCAAACCTTTTCCCACAACACCCCACTGCATTTTTCCACCCTTCTTCCTTGATAGTGTTTACTGTTCCATCAACAAAGCCTTTCAGCCAGTAGCAAGCCTCCTCTGGTAATAGTAACGTAGCCCTACTACCTTCCCTGATTTTCAGATAAGCCTTGCCTCTTGTCCTTCCCTGTTCGAACAGGAAGTGTTTAGCTTCAATACCCAGCTCCAACCTCCACTGATGCCTAGGTTTCCCCACTTGCATCCCTTCATGGTCACAAGGATTGTATGAATAAGTACCAAAAGATGGTGCTTGAATCTTGGCTTCATCAGTATTAACCGTGCAATGGAGGACCTACCTTCCAAAACCCATTTTGTCAGGCTTGGATCAGACCATAGAGAGGGAATCAAAGTTGAAGTTGTTCTTGAGGTACCCAGTTCTTAGAAATGCTGACATGGTCAAAGTTCACTCAAAGTACCTCTATTTCAAAGTGTTAAACCTCACAATTTTTAATTTTTAAGCTACTTRTCAAAAAAATATTTAATTTTAAGCTTGTTTTGATGTAAATATGTTTGGGTGAGGATATGGAGTTTTTACTATTTTCTTTTCTGCTTTGACTTTTTTTTTCACATTTTTCATTTGAGTAAGGTGTTTGAACTGGATGGTCAAACCATTTGACCCATGACACTGTGGCCAAAACAAGCCAACAGCCAAGTTTGACGAGTGTCCAAAATAATGAAAATGAGAAAAGAAGTGAAAATTATTAATTATTAATACAKAATGTGCTTTCATTTTCAGGTCTTTGGTCATCTATTTTCTCTTCAGCTTGAGGAGGATGTCAATGAGGTTCTTTTTGCCCTTCCTAGAGAGACATGTATTGAAGAGAACTCCTTGCTCAAAGCTGCTCCTCAACTCGAGAAGCTGTTAAAATTCACACAGACAGAAACTGGTCAAAATATCCTAGATACAGCAAGGAAGATCACATCTTTGAAATAAGATGCTGCTACTTTTGAGCAAGATACACATGGAGACAGTGAGACAGCTAGCCTTGGACTTTGTTCAGTGGAGGCCTCATTTTGTAGATTTGCCATGGTTTGTCTGTAACATTCGGGTATCAAGAGGGAACGGTTGGGACTCTGCATCCATTATTAAGTTGATACTTAATTAGTTCCACTAGAAGAAAGGGCTGGTTGAACTTCACCTTAGGAATGATCAAATGAGGATTTCAGACAACTTCTCCAGTGATATGAATGATGGCACTGGGTGGACAGGACTAATGAKCTCAAACTCAAATCTTTGTCATCCTTCCGGCTCTCTAACGCAAGTCCACTTACATTCCGTGTATACACTTGTGGGTTTGAAGGTAGTATCATTGAACAATTGTGCAGTGAGTGGTCTCAGGCTGTCAGTGTTGTGGTTTAAGTTAAAAGGTATTAGTCTTTTGCAAGAAATAACTGAAAATTTCATGGCCAGAAACAAAAGAAAAAGGTCCATAGGGATGTTTGTTACTTGCACTGAATGCTGAACTTTCTAAACGGCCCGTTCTAGGTAAGTTTTGGTTCACCTTTATTTTCTAAGGTTGGTCAGGGAGCTTTTTCTAATTGGGTGTTTAACCAGCAAATTTTATTATCTTGGGTAGTTAGCTTGTCATACAGCTTGTTGGAAGTCTTCTATTTCTGATGTTCATCCAGCTGAGAAAGGATTAGCTGAATGCAATAGCTATTCAGCAGGCTGTCAAACCAATGATAAGTCTCCACGCCAATAATAAAATACATGGGAGTCCACACCTCTCACAGTGGGACCCATTAATTTATTACAAGCGTGGAGTAAACATTTTGGTTCCACAGCTCGCTGAACAACCATAGCATTAATAATCCGAATTACATCCAGCTAGATTTGATTTTAGCACTCAAAATGCTGAAGGTTTAGYCGACTAAGGATAAGTTTGCCAGATTTAGCTTATTTCCAGGGCTCGAAATCTGTGCCACAGACAGTTCTAGAATGCAGTTGTAATAGAACTAATCAGAAAAGCATCTCAAATAAACAAATGGAAAATTTCTTAAACTACCCTTATGGTTTAGTTAATTGAC